CTCAACTGAATGTCGGTCGACTTACTTCACGGCCCGTTGCTCGTCTGACGTGTTCGAGATTAACTCCAAGAGTCCCCTCTCCCCTAAGTATCCCTTCGCTTTCGACCTCCTCAGGACGTATGGAATTCCCGATTCCGCTGTGCAACCCTCCCCGATATTTCGCCGAATGGGAGAATCCCAAAATACTCAGCCATACAGTGATTTCGAAAGGAGACGACTAGCGGTTCCTATACTTCGTCCACGCGTCCGGCGGACTTCACGTGTCGTTTGTTCCCCTTTTGTCTCACGTCCATTGCACACTTCGCTTGTAAACGTTGAGTGATACGCACATTCTTATCTGTGACCTTTTCCTCGGTGTGTACATCACTACGTCACTTTCCCGGTTTGATCTGGCGCGGCGGCTACCAGTGAACTATCATCGAAGACAAAAAACGGAGAAAACCCTTGTTTTTGGACTCCGCTCATGCGACTGGCTCAGAACTCCAGCGTTGAAAATAGTAGGAGTGTGTCATCATTCCGCGCTATCGTTCTGTTATTCTAAGCCAGCCGGAACGCTGTCCATTGGTCGTACGAGGCGTTGTGTTTATCGGCCGAAACTGGACTCAAATTACGCTCGGTTTCGGTTTGCTTCCTCCGTGTCTTGTATCCAGTTCCAAGAAGAGCTGACCGCGACGGGCCAATGAAAACTCGAGCAGAGCAGATAGGCCGAGCATCGACGTAGAACTCGTGTACGTAGATACGAACCTTGTATCGCAGCCTAGTTTCGTAGGCACTGCCTGCCGGTCGATGAGAGTTCGCTCGGCTGCGCTTCGAAAATCCGAGAGACGAGCGAAGATTCATTCAGTCGATCATGAGGAATGCTTCGGCTCGACCTTATCTTCCACGGAGCGCTAATATTTTTTCAGACTCTCAGAGTGATCTACTGACCGTTAACGGCTTCATTATTCGCACGATATCTGCGCACGATCTGAAAACGAATGGCTCGGCGAGGAGAACGAATTCACATACAAGATGTCGTGGTCGAGCGACCAGATCAAGGAGAGCCGTAGAAGAAGGCGTCCACCCGAAAAGAAACACTCACAGACATCACAAGAATCGAAGAGACCACAGATTCGAAGAATGCACGCGTTGTATTTGTCGTTGAAGCAAACGACGACGCCCTCAGAAGTGTGAACTCGTTCGGTGCATTGTGTCTTTTCGTCCAGTTTGCGCTGGCGACCGGTTAGCTCTCTCGCTAGTCACCGCTGAGGTGCTTTGTGATGCATCCAATGTGAGTTTGTGAGATTTGCCGCTTTACGGGCTGCCACTGCTCTCCGATTCTCTCGTTTTTTTCTCCTTCCTCGGGTACAATGGAATGGTTTCAGCACTCGAAGTCTAGAAACAGCGGGTTTGAGTCGTAGCGGTCGTCCGAACCGCCACCGCCGCCATCGCATCAAGGGATATCTGACCGATTCTTTAGGAATGTTCGTCCCGAGACACTTTCTCATTCTCCCCACCTTTTCTCGAAGCGAACGTCGAAGCTGAGTCTCCAAGAGGCGCCTCGGTCGACTTGTGCGCTTCATGCAGTTGCCAGCACCTGTAGCTCGGCGGCGTATATGATTCCATGCGCGGAAAAAAATGTGATTCCAAGTTGTTGACTGGCTTCGGTCCCTGAGCTGCATCGGACGTGTTGGTCTCGACGCGGGCTCCATGCAGATGAATCCGTCACTAGAATACGTGACGATTCGGCGCGCTCGTAACGCGTACTTAGTGCTCAGCCTGATGAGGCGAATTTGTGGGCCGCAAAGAAGCGTCCTTAGAAGAACGACGAGATGAAGATGTCTACATTCGCAATCGATCCAGACGCCGGGAGGCCTTTTTCAACGACGACGCTCGAACGAACGAAGGGACGACCGACCGACCGACTGAACCGACGCTCGGCCGGATCGTTCCTTGTTGCCTGTCTGCTTACCCGACTGGTTAGGATCGTCGGAGGAATGTTTGTTAGCACTCGGCCCGCGGGAGAAGAAAACCTCTTCCACAGATCAACTTGGAAGCATGCCTTGTCTCGACGAGCTTATTTTTCATCATTCCCTCTGTCCTCGCTAGTCCGGCGACAGAAGAGCCGTGAGCTCCGCCAACGAGAAAGTTACGGAAGCGAGCGGTGATCCCCGATGGATTTCGTCGCACACTTCCAGCGAGGAGTTTTCCTTGAGTTCCTGCCCATTCTCGAGAGACTAGTACTTGAACCACAGGCTGTTGCGAGAGCGTGCCGGGAGGTACGAGAGAGGGTTTTTAATTAAATCTGAGCCTCCGTCCTCTTGGAGCTGATAGTGGTAGTCACCGTTGACGGCCGGCATCCTGACCCGGTGCTGCTGACCACACCGGGAATGCGCGGCCACGCTCCGCCATTTCACGCCATCAGTGCCGCCCGAAGAGTCATGATGAACATGCTGGGGCTAGCTAGGAACGTGGCGAAACTAGTCGAACGGGCTGACTGAGCTCAAGTCATCGCTGTGCTACAATAATGCCTCCGTACAAACGTTATCATCGGAATTTCCTGACGGGCGACCGAAGTCGCTACGAACTGGAGTTGCTGCGATGCCTACGGAAAAACCGGTGGACGATCTCGTACGCGATCTGTTTCGACTGGCTGACTGACTGACTCGTGTTCGACAGTATGTGACCAACGTCTGAAAACGTCTAGACTTCAAGCTGTCAATTCAGCTCAGTCAGCCAGTCGCTTCAGTCGTCTCCGACGTAGTCGTCGTCGTCGTCGACATTTAGTCCGTGATTTTTGATTGAGAGAGAGAGGGAGGGGGTTGAAGGGATGAAGTAGGTAGGCAATCGAAGTCAAAGAGATGAAGCAGAAGCATCATGCTGATTCCTCGTTTCGTTCTCTTTAGCTTCTGTTCATTCGCTTCCCGCGATCGCTTAGCTGGCTTGCTGGCGATCTGGCAGTCGGTCAGTCAGGCCGGCCGGCGGGCAGGCAGTCCGACCGGCCGTTCCACAGCAGACCCGTTAGACGTTAGCTGTCAATGTTTGGCAGAATGACAGAACATCGAAGCTCCTGGCCTGGCATGTTGCAGAAAAAAAGCATTGGATCAGAAAATGAAGAAGATGAGAAGGAGCTGGAGCTTTTTCGCTCGCTCACACTCCTCATGTGGCCGGCGATTCCACCGAGCTGAGGAAGTAGCCGCGGAGCCGACCAGTGCGCTCGCTTGGTCGGTCGGTCGCTCGCTCACTGGGCAGTCGGCTATCAATTACGGCCCCAAAGTACCGAAAGCGAGAAACGAAGAAGGACAACTACGCCTGTTCATTTTTTCTTCGTTTTCCTTTTTTTTCGGACGACAGATAGTCTCATGCGGCCGAGCCTCTGGGATATAGTTCGAGCGGTTTCGGTCGACGACATTACTATTTAGATCCAGGCGGCCGAGTCCCCCACCACCGAGAGGGAAATTTCCACCGAAAAGATAGAACTTCTTCTCGCCTTTTCTCTATTTGCCTCCGTCGAGATTTCGGTTTGTTGCTCTCCGTCGGGTTTCACCACCACACTCAACGTCGAACGGGTGTTCCGAGCGCCGAGACTTTGAGCGACGTCTCTCGCAGATTTTTTCCCAGAGGCTGCTCGATGATGATGCTCGGCGTTCTCTCGTTCGGTCTGGCGGGCGAACGAGCAACCAAACAGACAGCCAGCCAGCGAGGCGGTCGGGTAGGCAGGCAGGCAGGTTACTCATTCAGGCTGCACACTGGCGGAGCATGCCGATGACAAAGTGCTCTAAAAATGCTGCTCGTCGTAGAGAAAAGATGAACGGACACCTTCTCCGGCTGCGTTCTTTGCTCTGCGAGCGGTGACGCTACTGTCTCTCCGTCGTCAGCGCGCTCTGTCCCCTCATCATTTTCCACTCGTTCCCTCCGGCACACTCGGCCGCTACTGCAACCTGCGGATTAATCGGCTCTTCGACTGCCGAATGCCGCCACCGCCGCCGCCGCCTCAGGAACGTCGCCCGGGGATGAGCTCTAGTGAGCCCGGAGGAATTCGAGGGATTTCTCTCGAAGCGAACGAAGTATAATGACAGCGAGAGGAACGCTCCGGACAGAAACACTAAAGAGCATCATGCTTCCAACACAAGGACCGGTACTGTGCTTGGTCTCCCTAGGAGAAGGAAAAGAGGGGACAAGATGTGGCGGGAATTCTTACCGCTGCAGCTTGTCGATGACAGCCTCTGATGAATAAGTTTATTTATAGAACGATGGGGACAATTCCGAGTTTAGCAGAGCTTTGAACCACGGTGCCGCTGTTTCGTCGAATGAAAGATTGTCCGCACGAATCCATTGCGTGGCTTCTCGGCGCTCGCTCTCATTTATCTGAGTGCGTGTGTTTTCAATCCGTGATGTTTTTCTTCTCTCCAATGTGTGACGGACCATTGCGCGAGCGAGCTGGGGAGGAGGGTAGTCAGCGGCGGAGACAGCGGCCGTCAAAACCCTAAATGGCGCTCAGAGTCTTCGTAGCGGGTCTGAGGGCCATTTGGGGTTCATTCTTAGGTTTATCCGAGCCGTACAGGGAGGGTACGGCGGGACGAGACGGGGCATCCGCGCCGGGTTCGCGGGAGGATCGGGCGGAGTCGACGTCGTTCTGACGGTCTAGGTGGCGGCTGGCGGCCCATAATGATTCCACTTGTTACCTCAGTGTATACCGCCCCGGCTAAAGCTCACATGACTGGCCTAAGTCAAATCGTTTTGTGGTCCATCTGCTTATTAGGCAAAGAGGATGCCGCGCTTGCATACGAATTACGTGCAATGGCGGCATGTCTGTTGCTGTCTCCGTCCCGATACGAACAACATTCGATCCTGAGCCGGTGGAGCCTAAACTGTCCGAGCCCGCTTTGTGCGTCGCCAATGCGCTTTGGCAACGGGTGTCTAATTCGTTGATTTTCTCCTTGCAGGTGGGATGAACTGTCATCGCAGTCGGCTGAGCAGATGATGCTGTGGAGTAAGGGTCCACAGTTGAATCGAACGCAATGGAGCAGCACTGGGCTGACTGGAGCGACGCCGGGCTTTGGCAATGGGCACCCGACGAAGAAGACGATGAGCTCGTCTACTTTCGCTGCAGCTCGTCCGGACGCTGTGCCGATCTATTACCAGCTCCGCCCGAGTTTGTTCCACCACCGCCGGCTCCGCCGGGCGTCTGCGCGGCCGGTCTGATCTCGGACGATCTTCAATTTTGTCCTGCCAGTCAGCTGATGGGAGACCGCGCACTTAGCTCACTCCTTGGTCCGTCAGCGTTGCCTGTCTTCACGATATGCTGTGCCATTCTACTCACGCTCACCATGGTCGGAATTTTCTTATTTTGCAAGTAAGTGACCACAGATTCTATTCTTCATTTTTTCCCTCCGCCAGGGTTCGAGACACGAGAGCCGGGGGGGGGGGCTCTGACCGACCGATTCGATTTACTCACTCTCCGAATTCGAGTTGTTGATCCTCATCGGGGACCCCCAGGATCTGTTGACCACATGACCGCACGGACTCACGGAGCCGTCGATAAACTCGAACGGATCGTAATACTGCCGTCGGAACCGTCGCTGTGCCCGCTGCGCTTGTAGTGCCACTGGTGATGATGTTCATTATGATATGGCGGCATTGTATTGTGTTGGTCATCTGACGTGCCGTCCTTGCTCTTGTGGCCGCGCACGTTCCACGTCCGTTCGCCCAACCGTTTGCTTCTTCCTGTGACCGACCGGTCGGCCAGCTCGCCGCTCCTTACTTCTCCTCTTCCCCCATGGCTGGTTCGGTGCCCCGGCGGATTTTCCCCCGACAGTTTAGAGATTCTTCGGTGCACAGACCTGGAGGAGAGGGGGGGCGCACTGGGCTCGGGTTCAGATTGTGGGAGGGGGGCGTCCGATGGCAGAGCACGTTGCGCTATGCTATGTCGTATCAAATGAAACCTTTGTGTACAGATGGAATCGTGCGTCACGTACTGCCCACGTTTCTCTCTCCGTCCCTATCGGTCGGTTCGTTGCCGGACCGGTCGGTAGGTCGGTCGACTGGCCGCTTTATCTATCCATCTATTCATCCATGTATCTATTTGGACCGCGGGGTTCTATCCATCCATCGTATCTCTCTCTCCCCACTTGGTACGCCATTCCGCATCGGCACGACGGCGGTTCGTGCCAACTCAGAACGACAGTAGCAGTTGGCACGAACTGTTAGTGAACGGTCGGATTGCTTCGATTCGCTCCGACCAAGGGCTACCTTATTAGGCGAGTTCGACCGCGCCGGACTTGTGTCTGTTTGCAGATCACACATTCGCAAGTTCGCCTCGTCGGTGGGTGGTGGATCAGCGTCAGGCCAATCAACGCTGTTTCCACACATCGTACTATTGACCCGGGATTCCGGAGAACCAGCAAATCAGATATTTGAACGACTCGTTCGATGAAGAGACGTTGGCGCCCTGGATGAACAGATCGCACAGAATCATGGCGGGACCTTCTCAATTTTTGTGGAGTCGACAGTCCGGCAGTCCTAATGAGCTTGACACTGGAATATGTTGCGTCATATGAATCTGATTAAGGATAGACTTCACGGAGACGAGGACTCATGCCAGCGATGATGGCTCAGGAGCCCCCCGCTGGTCCTCGATACTCGTCTCGTTGAAAGCGGACACGTCTGCAGACACGCAGTCAGAGTGGTCGACGGATTCGACATTCCGCCTCTCTGAGTTCCATCAGAGTTCAACTTCGTGTTCCTAGAAGATCGAAGACCAAATCTTTCCGCGGCGGCTTTTCCGGACCACTTCGATTTTCCGTGAGGAAAGCGTCCGATGTACGTCCCTGGGGAGCGTGTCTTCGCATCAACGGGGACGGATGATTTTCCCGGGGATATTCCCTGCACTTGCTCTTCGATGAGGCGGTACCTCTCGCGCCTCTAGCTTCGTGTCTTGATCCCAGGGCATGCCACTGTGATTAAGATCTTCTCGGATACCCCATCTTCTGTTTTTGTTGGAGCTCTTCTCCCCGAGCGTGCTGTCATCCGTTCTCTTTCCGTACGTGTTTTTTTCTGTCGTGCGGTGGTTACACGCGTTGTAAACAAGCGTCCGGACCCTGTCGGCTCATTCCGGTCCGTGGCTTCACGCCTTCGCTACCGCGAGACAGCGACAACGGGAGCACCGACAGAGACAGCAGCGGCCGACCGACCGACCGTCTGTGTAATTGGCGGTCATTTCCATATAAAGTAGACATATAAACGGAAAGAGAGAAATATGATGACGATATTAATGCCGACACCAGCCGGACGCCGAGCTCTTCGGGAGGTAGGCAGCAGGAAGGCAGACAGTTGGCAATGGCCGAGGATGCTTGGACAGACAACGAATGCAGCGCGATGAGTACTCGGAATTCATTTTCTGTCGGCACGTTGCATCGTCGGCCTGATGACTTGTGGGCGAGTATGCTCCTCCTCGCAGTCAAACGATCCAGTGATTTTACCGCGAACCCGTCAACGTATCCGGCGCTCGTCGATTTTCTGAAACCTCTGAGCCTTCTGGGTGGAAGGTTATAGGCCAAACATGGTAGAATTCGCTACGATTGTATAAGAACGTCGAAAGGCAAGAGAACCGGTGAGATTCGACGAGGGGTTTCGCGATTCGGAACTATCAAAATGCCTGGCACTTTGATTTGATGTACGAAGCTCGAGAATTTCGGCGGCGATTCGCGATCGTCTTTCTCCCTCAGAAAGCAGCCGTTCCGGAGCGTCAGAAACATAGAGAGGCGAAATCGAACACCGCCTATGGTGCCCGTGGAGACCGAGCCGGACAAGCGTCTCGTGAAATGTTCGATGCTCTGGTCGGATTCACCTATAGTACGTGTGTCAGGCAGCCTGAATCGTGACCATTAGAATGACGGTTCCGACAAGAGCCGCCCGCGTCGAGCGCTGTAGAGCGTGTAGGCAATCTCAAGCTCTCGTGCACGAACTCCTCGTGCTTCGACCGATAGATAGATAGTTTTTTATTTCTTTTTGTCGCCGTGAGATTGAGCGTATAGTCTCGAGATCAATTTCATTTAATATCCACCTCCAGGTCGAATGAAACTGATGAAGAAGAAATTCCATTGAATGGCTCAATTTATCTCCGTCAATAAACTCTAATGGTCGTTCCCTCTTTTCGCAGACACAAGAAGAAGGTCGAGCATTTCCTTCCATGCAAGTCAAATCAGGTACCGGGAGCGCCTGGTCAGTCGCAGATTTCCGCACCGGGAATCAATCCTCTGTTGTTGAATTCAAATCACACGGCCACCTTACATCCGTTCCTGCAGGGCGATGGCCTCAATCCTATTGAGGTGAGTGCTCTCCTACACACGATCTAGTCGTTATCATCTGTTTAACGACTCTAACGACGACGAGCGACGATCAAAACTTGTCAACTCGGAGATTCACATGTGACTTCAACAGACAGATCACCATCACAGAACTCAAACACTCAAGCACTTCGCAATCAACGGCGCGAAACTAGCCGATTCGTCAGATAATGCTTTCGGTCCGGGCATCATACAGCTTCCACGTTCTGATAGAGATTCACTAATAAGAGCTTTCTGAAACTTTACAGCTCTCCGATGTCAAATGCGGATCTTACGGTCAGCAGGGCATTACGACACTCCCGTCGGCGTTCCGTGGCATAGTCACGCCGTCTGTGATTTCTCTGAACGATCCCCAAAGGTCACAACGGCGAAAACCTGCGGGCGCCAACAAAGAACAGTACAACCCGATCTACGAGCAAGTCCTCGACCAGGACCGCCAAGACGATGAGCACGGTGAGTAGTCGTTCCCATTCGCCTAGATCAGGATTCTGTAGACTTGACGTTCTTCGACGAGAGTTCGAGAACTCGACGATTCGTCACGTGGAACGGTTTGAGCCAAGATTTTTCAGCGAAACTGGGTTCCCGTTCATTGTCCCCGCATATCTACGATACGGCCCGTATTGTCTCACTTTTATAAAAGGAGGAGAAGCGAACTGGATAAGCGATAGGTATACGTCGACGCAGCGGACTGGATTCGACTTCTGAAAGGTCTTCCGTTACCATCGACTCCACCGTCGTCATCAGCAGCTCACGGGGTCGTTAATGCGTCGCCTTCGACTTTTGGCTGATTTACAATCGATGGATGGTGCCTGACTAGCTGGTGGTTGTTGGCTCGACAGGTCGACACGGCGAACGGCCGGCCTCTGGTTTGTCTGGATTTGAATGTTTACTTCTCGCGCTCTCTCTTTGCGGAGCATTGGAAAGAAGCGACGACGACTATCGCCGAGCACAACGTCGAGAGAACGACAATCACAGACGAAAAAAATATTGAATAGAATGCCACATGCGTCCGACCGGCGAAGAGACCGAAGAATCACTCACGAGCAATCATCACCCACTTGCGATGAGGAGCTGTGTCTCCCGTTTTTGATGCTGGGTTGTTTTTTCTGGGTCCCGGCTCCTGTCATGGCGGGCAGCAGGCTGGCGAACTCCGTGAGTTTATTGATTCGGCTGCTTTCGGTTGAATCAGTGTTGTCAACGCTTATTTGCATCGGTTCCCTCCGTTCATCTAATCAGGCGGTCCGCGATGCTGACTCGGCGTTTGTTGGCGGGAAGCACATGCTTGTCTGTTTGCTCGCCCGGAATACCTCTCGATCACAGCATACAGCGGGCCTATCGCATGTTCCTCGTCAGCCTGATAACGCAATGAAAACTCCATCGTCATTCAGGCATACGAATCAGAGCGAATGTTCGATATGAACGACGGACGGAGAGATGAACATGTCTGCAGGGTCAGCCGAATATGCTGTGGAACATCGTAGGTCCCACAGCCGGATCGCCCTCATCGAGTCGAACGGAGAACGTATCTCCTCCCTGGAGAGGCATCTCGAATTTCTTCCTGAGAGGGCCGGCGCAGCGCCGCGCCGGGTTTCCGTGGCGGGCAATTCGGTGCGAGAATTTCCATCTCTACAGCTCGCGCAGAAGCCCATCTACCGCCTGGAAGAATCGAGCAGCAACTTCTCAGCGCCCTTTGAAAGAGTTTTCTACGCTATCTGAAAAATTTCCACCCAAACATGATTTCTCTCGCTACGATCTGACTGCTTGTATTTGTTCATCGAGCGCTCCGAGCGTCACGTGGATGGGGAGCGTATGCAGGTAGCCTCTTCGTTTCGCTCGCCGGGCGGTTTATCGGACCATCGACGTATGACCGAAAAATTGAATCGGTGTCGTCCGAAATAGAAGAGGAACACCAGGGCAAATGATTTCTTATCGCAGGAGAATGTCGGGCACCGGAGCGAATCTTCGGCAGGGTGCGGCTGGCGAATTTCTCGACTTTTAAGAGGGAACTCCGAGGTGTATAATCCGTCATCGACGCCGCCGCCGATCCGTCTGACATTCTTTATTCATTCCGTGGGAGAGGTTTTTCAAGGATGATATGCATGGTTCAACGTAGTCGATCGCCCGGAGTGCGATGGAGTGTAGAATCGTGTGGACGACTCCATCTCTGTGACCATTGAATCAAGTTTGCATTCCGAACCCTCGGACATCCGAGAGTAGATCCATGTACATACATATGTACATAGTAGATAGCAGGCCACTTCCCAGTGCCGGTCGCGATGAGGCTGAACACGCGCGTATTTCCTCGCATATTACGTGGGCATGAATGAGACGAATTTGTATTTTGGCTCACGCATAGATCACAAACATCGTGCGTCGACTTCGGTATCGACCACAGCCGAGAAATCACGCTTTCACGTTACGCGATTCTCCATCTAGGCGAGTTGTACAATGCATAACTGCCGTTTTCGCTCTTTTGGCCCGTCTCGGTTTGCCCAGAGTGAAGCGAAACGACGGAAAGAAGCGTAGTTCAGTCGCTTCCGTCGCTCGGTTCCTTCTATCGTGTCTCGGACTTTCCCGTTCAAACAACGGTGGCGGTAGAAGCGTTCGAAGGTGATTTTGTGTTCGGTATTTAATTAATCGGCATCACGAATTGGGCGATGACCCGATTCGTGTGAATCTAACTAATACATTATTTTTTATGAGTTGCGTTCAGCCGACACTCGCTCTTTCGCTCGCTCACTCATTCCTTCGCTCGCGCGTTCGCCAGTCTTCTTGCTCCAGAGCGTGGCTCCGGTCCTTGCGGCAGGGTTTCTGGTTGTCTGCAGTTTATTATCTGTTCGCTTACCAAAAGTATCCTGGTCGTCGCCATCATCGTCGCCGTCGTGGTGGTGGTGGCTTTCTTCTTCTTTTCGCTCCGTTCGGGAGCAACAGTATTTTCGCGGTGGTCCCCGAAAGTGCCCAGCACGACCGACCGACAGTGGGCTTCTCGTCCGTTCGTCCGTCGTTCGGTCCGTCCGTGTTTTCGGATGTCCGTTTGTTCCTTCGCTCCTCGGAGTCGAACGTGGACCTGGCTTGGAGATTAGCGACATTTTACGACAAGTGATGGGGTCAAGGGGTTTCCCGCGAATCGATCCGTTCGGGGCGGATGGCGAGCAGGATCTCCCATGGACATCATCGGCCTTATCGCTTGAGAGAAGCTGGAAAAATAATCCGAGAGCAAGTTGCGCGCCAGCTCCCTCCGGGAGCCAGAAACGGAGAATCTCTTTTCGCTTCCCACTCTCGTCCGAACAAAAAAATAATAATTCATTTATTTTGAATTTCAGGCAGCGATCTGGAGTCGGGCCGGAAGCAGAGCTGCTCTTCCGATTCGATGGAGCTCAACAGCAATATGCAGTATGGGCATGGTCTCGAACCGAAGCAGAGCTACTACCAGTCCAAAACGCCGCTAGCCTTCCCTCCGAACGGTCAAGGGCGGGGGATTCCCGGTCAGCAGCCATCGCAAGCGCTAAATCATCATCTACATCTCCAACAGCAGCAGCAGTTGCAACATCAGTTGCAGCAGCAGCAACAACAACAACAAGCAAACACACTGACACGAAGAACGCTTCTCCATCCCTACCAGAGCACAGGACCCGTAACGGAGAATATCTACGCGGTTATCGACGACGAGGTCCACCAGTCGCCTCGTTTGCCGTACACTATGGATCGGCTAAATGGGTGTCAACGACGAATGCCCGTTGTTAGTGTCCAGCAGCCTCAACGACAGTACGCGACGGGCGGACGTCTACCCGTAGGTGTGAATGGGGGACCACGGCAAATGTTACCTTCGCAACGCCAGCAAGCGCAATATCCCTCAGTGTATAGCGAACCACAGGATATGTCGCCCTACTCGAATACGTGATGTCAAAGTTGGACGAAAATGGCGATATCAAAGTTGTCGATGATGACGACGACGGCGTACAGCGAGCGACTGTGACTGTCCTTCACAGTTTCGTAGATAACTGACTGATGCCATGATCCTCTCATCCGATACTATACTAATTGATTAACGGCCGCGCCCCAAGGCCGTTTGTTGTCTGTGATCTCTGACTGTTTGTATGCATACTGGTAAACGGGAGGAAAACCTTTACAAGAACCTTTTTCGGGCTAGGAACCACTCGAAAGCGGAAACAACACGAAGAAACAATACGAACGCGCCCGATCCTCGCCGTAGTCGGCCGAGGGGAGGGTGAGGAAACGATGCAAAAATGATGTAGAGAAAGAAGAGCTAGCGTCACGATAGCTCTATTCCAAGCAATAAGTGATGTACATAGATTCGAGCAAAGTAGATTCCCCGGCAAAGGGAACCACCGGCGACCTATCAACGTTTCCAGCCTTTCTCCAATGAGTCAATCCGCACTCACCTCAACGGCGGAAACGGCTCGGAGGGCATTCCGTGCAAAGGTCGCTCTTGTTTGGTCCACGGGACCGCCAATTCTAAGTCAGGCTCTCGGTCGTTTCGGCGGCGGCACAAGCAGAAGCTCACGCTGAAGTCCCACGAACATATCGATTAAATCGAGAACTCCTGAACAATAACATTTCGAATCCTAAGCAATATCTCGAACAGAACGCTGACTTGTGACAGGTTTGAGAAAAATCATAGATCGGAGAATCTCGGATTTTCATTCAGAAAAACTAGCGGCGGAAAATCACGAATCTCGAAACACATGTCAGCCTGCTTGCGCGCCTGCGAGCCAGTTCGCCAGCCACGCGACCGAGGCGGTTGTATTCAAATGTATATAGTGTACAAATACCGTAGTCGAGTAGTGGGCAGAGATCGACGCGTCGTATGGAACCATTGTTCACGAATGGCGCTGAGAGAATGAGGACGATGTGGAAGGAGAGGAGTGGGGGAGGAAAGATCGAGAGCTCACTTGATCTGGAAGTTCGAGAGATACTCAGCAGGGAAGTTTGAGAAACCCCGATTCGCCCGGGTTTCAGAACACTCAGTCAGTGAAAAGCAAACGAACCTTGCGAAACTCGCGTTCGATTCGAGTCGTCACAGGAATAGCGCCCGCTCATAGTAGTCACTACAGAAAAGAGAACGCCCTCGCTCTCAGATTCTTTCACCGGAGGATCGTTGTTGTGGTTGTTGTTGCTGTTTCCAATGGGCTGAGGTCTGTGGTCACTTGCCAACGGAGACGGTCGCGTCGGCAAGGAACGCAAGAAAAAAGAAAAAAAAAGCCGCGGAAGAAGGCTCTGCGACATCGTCGCCGCCACCACCAACGCCAAAAGCAACAACAGTAACTGGACGGTCGGAGCTTCTTCCTTTTACTTCTTTTTCTTCGACTCGTTTTAGAAGGAAGAAAAAATTGAAATTGCCGGGCGTTGCCGGCAAACTCCTCTGTTTGGCCAACGGAAACGCTGTTCTTGACGGGCAAACACACAAAGATCTCTTGAGAGGGGTGACTATGCTTTCGCTCTGAAGACGATGACGACGACGGCAGCTTCGACAACTTCGCAAAGACGGCTCGATTCTTTCTCCTCCATGGTCTGCAACTGTTCCCAAAGAGTTTGCCTCGATTCTTGACGATTTTCTCATGCTGGGATTGAATCCCGAATTTCGTCGATATGAAGATGTCGACGGATCAAGAAAGCTCAAATCCTACGACACGTGATTTCTCTGCCTATCTCATTTGTCAGTAAGTTATTATGGAAATTGAATGGAAAGCGGACACGTTATTCGATGATGATGACAACGACAGGATGAGACAAGCGATTGTAGCGTATTTAATGATGTCCGGAGCGAAAAGACGAGTCATGAAATGAGATACCTATCAACCTGTCTACTGAGTGAATCTGATCGATTTGGATTTCAGCTTCTCGGTGGACAGCTTTTTATGGAACAGAAAGGAAAATAAAGAAACAATTGTTTGCAACTCTTGAAAATTATTCTTTGATCATTTAGCTTTTTTCACCGTTCCGGGAGAAACAATAGAGAGAGCGAACTCCGAGTTCGATTCTAGAACTCTATTCCAGCAGAACATCGGGGCGGAAATCATTTCCGAGAGGAATTTTCCGTGAATCCTCCGCGGAGAAACACTCGGAACAGCGCCGGTAGCTCTGACCGATCCTGATCAAGAGCTTCTAACCGCTATAACGTAAATACGGGAAAAATCCAACACGCGTACATAATTTGCGTCATGTCTCGGCCTGCGTAAAAACCCTCTGTTTGTAAATAATTTGTGTATTCTGGTGACTGTGAGAGCGCGAGTGTATATTTATTCTGCCAACGATGCGCACAAACAACAGACGGATTTAGGGCCGACCCAACGAGGACGGCGTCGGCGTCGTCGTTGACGTCGAACCACTGGGGAAGGCAAAAAGAGAGAAGCATGGGGATTTCATCTCTCAGCCCGACGCGAATCGTCGATAGGAGAACAAGCAAAGAGATAATCCGAAAATCACACTGAGCTCCTCTGTTTGGACCGATCCGTAAAAATAATCCCCAACGATCGATGGATGGGTCTTCTTGTTCACTCGAACCGATTCGGCAGCGACGAACACAAGTCTCTGGAATAAAAGGTTTCGCTTATGGCTCGGAGCCTTGACCCACGTGAACGGCAACATGCCACGGCCGACGGTACGCTGCCCTAAATATATCTAATTCCGATTCCGTTTCGCCGAGACGTCAGCGAGAGAAAAAGAGAACAACAAGGACCACAACGAGGGAAGAAGAAGCACTGAGAAGAAACAACAAGCGATGCTCAGATGTGCCCGAGGGGAATCGCGCGCCTGGAGTTCGGCGTCGTAGATCGAGGAGAATGACACGGAACTGTCTGAATAAATTAGAGCACTATATCATCGCCACTTATCAAGTGGAATTTATGTGTTATCGGTCGATTGGCTCCTTCGGCCGCAGCGCGCCGGAAGACTTCCATTCATTGATTCTTTCTTTCTTCGCATCTTCATCCAATGTCAATTATTTGGAAGCGAGACAACTATCGAATCGGTTCGCTCCACGTATCCGACGAACTTGACGTACCGAAGTCGGCCTAAATCGTTCCGATGGCGCACTTCATTGAATAGCTAATGGAATCATCGAGATATGGCCGCGGATTCATTTGACGACATTCTTCGGAACCTGCCGAATCCAATGGAATGCCTAAGATTCGGAGGAATAATCGAAAGCCCATGAGAAGTTTTCAATGAGAAACGCTCGGAGCGTAGTTCTCCCTTTCGAATCCGAGTCGTTCTCCCAATGCGCTTCTCCCGGACCTCTGAACTTTTTCTGTTTACCTACCCAGTTTGTGATTTACGTGGGTCTTTGTCACACAGGTCCGTGATTTGTGAAAAAGCGAAGAGAGCTGTCGATGGTGGACTCGGCGACGGATGGAGACGGACGCGCGCTTATTTGACTGGCCCTTCCCGCGCTCCGAGCTTCCTCGCGGCTCAGGATCTGAATCCTCGAAAAATCAGAGCCGGCTTGTTTTTCCCGATCAAGAGGCTGTTTATGGCGGCGCTCCAGATCATAACTCAACCCAGATTATCTCCTGCTTAGGAGAGAGCGCCACGGTGGAACAGTGATGAGAAATGACGAGGCAGGAAAGGAACAGCAACACCAAACAGAGAATCACTCTACGCGGCGAGATGCTTTCACGAGAACCCGCGACGGAAGAGGAGACCGCAAGCAGGAGTCGTGCGTCGATGACGGTAAAATCGCCGCCAGCCGTGGAACTTCTAGATAGCTCCCCGTTGGATAAGCAGGCTTGAGCATGGAATCGGTTCAGCAGGACCGCTCATCTCTGCCTTCTTTTTCGACTAGGAGACTTTCTGACACACCGCTGTCCTTCAACTCTGATCGCGCGATGGAAGCTGAGGATCATAATCTCGCTGGGAGTCGATTCCGATGTACCGACATTCTCCGACGTCCCAGTGTTTCCCGTGTGTTTCCGAAAGCCCGGGTAATGAAGCTTCCCTCTTAAGGTACTACAGGCGGACGCATGCATCAAACGACGAACGGTGGAGAAGAAGGCCTTATACAAGAATAAGAGACTCCACGGATGACTGCTTCAGGCATGCTTGCTTACTTTTTCGGCTGGTTGAGCGGTCGGATGCTCAGTCGCTCGAAAGGCAAGCGAGCAAGCAAGCAAAACCTTCGGTGGCTTCACTAAAAAAGAAAGGAATGGACAAAAGTAAAACAGCCATACCTCGTTGTCCCACTACCCACTCGGGTACGGCGTGCGTGACGTAGCCAGGAAGGAAATAAGCGGGACGCGACTTCGATTATTATCGTACGCGACGTATGCGACGAATCCTGCGGACAATATAGTCTCGTGCCGATTCGTGCATGTTTCTTCCTCATGCGGAGGATGATTTCGATTGTTGATCATGTTTAGGTAGTTCGAAGTCCGGCCGACTGGCTCATATCCGACACACAGACGGACAGGCAGGCAGGCCGTACGGGGAAGGGCCGCTCGAATCACTCATGGTCCAGCTCCCCGAACGGATACGGTTCGAATTCCGAGGAGTTTCGTGTGAATGCAGGCCAGGGCCCTCACGTCACCATTATCATCTGAGCAAGGGACAAATAATGGAGAAGAGCTCGTTTCTGGTTTCCTTCTTTTTCATCTGCCTCAGATGAATTCGTAACTCGGTCGCGCAATGGCCTGCTCGCGGTCGTTTGACAACAGCGCCGCCGTTCCAACCACAACACAGGGCAGGCGAACGGGTGAGCGGGCGGAGGAAATCGAGATCGGAATAGACGCAGGGCGTGTACGGAAGACTTGGAACAACGAAACCAAAAGAAGAAAGCGACGAGACGGAGCAGAGGGAAAAACTAAGGAACCGAGCGCTCACATAGGGGTCAATGATTTTGATTTGAGCGTCGATTGGGAGGCTTTCGACATAACGACGCGCAAC